GAAAAATTTGTACATGATTGGTGAGATGACGGAAGAGAGGCAACGCAGATTTGGCCAAAAACTTGTGGATGCTATTGTGGAATTTTGTGTCGCACAGGATATTCCCATGAACTGTGTGTCCGACCCAACGGTACTTTTTTTTCTTTTGATTGCTCACAATTGATGAAAATATTTGATGAAAATCGAGTAGATTTCTTTTTGATACTCAGCACAGTTGGGAAAGTTGTCAGGTAGAATTGAGAGTTGACGAGGTCCAGTTGTGGTAACGGCAAGAAATGTATACGATTTAATGGACCGAAACATTTCTTATCAATTTTTTAAGGGATTTTTTATAAAAATAATTTCTAAAAAATTTGAAAAATTATAATTCTTTTCCACATTCTAAATAGTACAAAGGCAGACTTTTTCCTTTTTTCCTTTTTTTTTTCTTTTTTCCTTTTTTTCCCTCTTTTTTTCTTTCTTTACATTACTTTCTCTTTAGCTACTACTAAGTTTCAAGTACAAAATGCAGGTGGATACTCGAATCAGCTGAATTTCTGTAATATGAATAGCACTTCGAAGTTGAGCTTAAATACGTCTTATATAAGAGATTCAGGTTTATTGAAAGCTCACAATTTTTGTAACGAAATTTTTGAGCACATGTGTAGATTTGAATACTACAACCTATAATTGCTTTTTTTTTTCACGATTTTTTTTACTCGTGATAAGTATTCATCAGCAGTATCCATTATTAGAAAGTGTTATCATTAGTTTGGAAGGAATGATGCTTTGTTCAGCAGTTAGTTAGGTATTTCCTATACTGTTTGGGGCATTTCTCTCATTTGATTTTCTATAGCTGATTCAAACGGATCCTTCCACCGCACTGGCGGACAATCTTGGCTGTTTCTAATGTTGGCAGCTTGAAAGTTTGGACTGGACCTGAATAATGCGTTTAAACTTTTTTTTGAAAAATTAGCTCTTATAGCTTATCATAGCCTAAATATCCAAATATCGAAACAGGGATTTATTCGATTTAATAAAAACCATTTTAAAAAAGCTATTTCTCTCAGCAATAAGGGGTACGTATATTACGATATGAAAGTGAACTGAAGTAAAAAATGACGAATGACGAATTCAAATCATTATACTGTTTCAGCTTCCCAAAGAAATAGTCGAAATGATGAGCACTTTAAGCGAAATTCATGCGGAA